GGGGGGTTTGGTGGTGGTGTTGGGCGAGATGCTGTGGCCAGAGAATCACAGGTTGCTTAGTGCTCCTGGGATGCTCTGGTAGGAAAGGGGGCGGGCAGGAACCACACCTAACCAAAAGAGATGCCGCCTGGCGCAACTGCCTCATTAAAAGGACAGCCCTGGTCCTAATGCTGGACAATCTCTGCACCCGCCGGGTCCTTAAGAGTCTACAGTACTCAACGTCAGCCTGAGAGCTGTCCCTCGGGGGCGGGGTGCATAACTCTGAGCGAGAGGCAACCCAAATGTTACGCAGCATTTTTTGGGGGAACTCAGATAAAGATGCAAAGCGGGTCAACTTAAAGGTTCTCATGCCATCACTCTCCGTAATCGCGACACCCTTCGATTCTCTACATTTTTCCTTCCATGACGATTGGCGGGCAGTTCGGGTATAACGGAATCCCTCCACCCCTTATTTCCTGCGAGTTTAGCAACTGGAACAGCTCCGTAATCACGATTTCGCCTTTCACGAGCCGGCAATAACTTGGAACTGCTGGTCTGCGAGGTGTTTTTATAGGTCTAGAACTCATTACGCTGATAAAATGAGGCCAAGGTCTCAAGGCTACTGCTAACAACAACAAGTCCCTGCTGCGTAATTCAGCTCCTCGCGGTTTGATTGCACAGCGTTCACATCGGAAGGAAATACGAATCTGTTCAGAAATAAAATGATATGAGCGGTAATTCCCTCCAATGCTCCCTATGGGCTGGGTAATCCATGTCGCACCCCCGAGGCACTTGCAGCATTACCTTTTGAAACACCGTTAAAGTGGGCATGCAAATGGATTCCTGCTCCCCGGGGGGGGGGGGGAAGAGGATTGTGGGTAGCAGGAAGTGCTAGGTATTTCTAGACACAGCTTGGGGGGGAAAAAAAACAACTGTCAAGAGGCTGAACTTTGATTTGCTAGGAAAATGCTCCCTCCTGACTGCAGCAGACTGATCAGTGGGGGGAGGGGAGGCTGAGGAAATGCTTCCTCCTGACTGCAGCAGACCGATCACTGGGGGAGGGGAGGCTGAGGAAATGCTTTCTCCTGCTGGCAGCAGAATGATGACATCATCTCAGCCCAGGCAGAGTCACTAAATGTTCTTTAATGATAAAAGTTGTTCCTTGGTAACATGTCAGCTTATTTTTCCATCAGACTAGTGAGGGCCGTAGCAAAGCTGAACTCCATCCTTCTCTTCAGTCTTTAAAAGGAGAACTATGGGGTTATGGCTTTTCCCCATAGTTCTCCTTAGGGTAACGGGAGGACACAAACTAGCGTCCTCCCGTCACCCTAGGCTCAGTATACCGCGAGCTGAGACTGAGACGCCGCAGCTGAAGCGGATCCCGACAATTGTGCCGGGATCCGCCCAGCTGCGTGAGTGACAGCTGGCTCCGCCTATCTAGAGGCAGAGCCAGCTGTACCCGCCCCCTCCCCCTTCCGTTCCGCCAGTCAGCGCTGGCAGATCGGAGCGGGGAGAGGGGAATCCAGCCCCTCCCCTGTCACGGCAGAGAGACGTGACAGGATAGAGAGGTGAGCGAACGCCGGTATGTGTTCTCTCACCTCCCGATCTACTGAGCCGACCTGCGACAGTCTCATTGTCACAGGTCGGCTAGAACTATGAGGTGAGTGAAAAGCCCCTCCCCCCCCTCATAGTTCTCCTTTAAAGTCTAAACATCCAAAAAAACATACAAACATTTGACTGATACAGAGTTATAATTTCCCCGTATAAAACCCCGAGAACTTATCACTGGCGTTACTGCGCGGCGGTGAAAATGATGAGAACATTACCTGAATGTTGGTGAGAAGAGTTTCTACAGACGACAACCCGTCGGCAAAGAGGAACGGAGCCGGGAAGCCGGGTGGTAAAGTCTGTCCCATGAGCTGAACTTTATCCAAGGTCGGCTTCATAATTGGAATGGCGATCTGAATGTCATCTGCGCAAACACACAAGATAAAAAAAAAAGAAGAGGGAAAATCGTTAAGAAATGCAGCACAATATATAACGAGAGGGTAATAAACACATCGGATTCAATTAATGGCCATAAAAAAATAGACAGAAATAGCGGAGGATGGAAAATCAGAGGTCTCCCCTCCATTTCGGAGACAGTTTATCATCTGCGGGTGACTTGCAGCTTATCGTCAAGAAATTTGCAAAGCTTAAAGTGAAACTCCATTTATATTGGTTAAAAAAATTCCCCTCCAGGCCACCTATACATGTGGGCCTCTGCCCCTCCTGCAATGGTGAGATTTCCTCCCAGTAGTTTGTGTCTCTGCCCCTCCCACAATGGTGAGATTTCCCCCAGTAGTTTGTGTCTCTGCCCCTCCTGCAATGGTGAGATTTCCCCCAGTAGTTTGTGTCTCTGCCCCTCCCACAATGGTGAGATTTCCTCCAGTAGTTTGTGTCTCTGCCCCTCCCACAATGGTGAGATTTTCTCCAGTTGTTTGGGTCTTTGCCCCTCCCACAATGGTAAGATCCCCCCAGTAGTCTCTGTCTCTGCCCCTCCCATGGACACTGATCACGATTGTAAAACAATATAAACTGTAGAATTACTTTGTAACATTCCTGCGGCTCCGACAAGCTTCGCGCATACAAGTTACTTTATTCAAGCTGCTGCATGTCACGGTGTTATTTTATTGGGCGGATTGCCTTTTCGGGTCACACGAACATTAACAAATTGAGTTCTGATGTAGAAAATTTAGTGATGACAAATAAAAAAAAAAAAAAAAAATCTAATCTGAAAACTGTCCAATTTGCCATCACAATTCATCGCGTCCCATAAACAACGGCGGAAATAACGTCTCCAATATTCTTCTAAACGCCTCGTTTTTCTGAGATAGGCGTAAAAAGACGACGCAGCGACGCAGCCGGCCCATAAAAACATCTGCCAGAGGAAATTTGCGCCGCGTCTCGCCTCTTCCTAATCCCCCTTTCCAAATATATTGACTTCACGCACTTGATACATTTGCTTTGTAGAAGGCAATCGCGCCGGCGCTCCATTCGCCGCCGTTCCTCATGCGCCCCCTTGTCATATTAATTCCCAGATTTACAATTAGGGAACAATTACATTTTTTTCTTCCGTCTTTATAATTCCCGCGGGGGGGAGCCACAAATCCGCTCTGAACGCGGCCCCCGGGATGATTAAAAGGGACGGCCACTTTCAATGCCGCCGCCGTCAGCGGCGGGCGCAGACAAATTCCTCGGGCCGCTCGCGAGACGGCCGACGTCTCCATTACGTTTGCAGAAAGCCATTTGCTGACAGCGAACACGACTCTACATCGCCGCGGATTGAACTCACTCGTAGTTATTTCAGATCCGTAGACGCGGGCGGCATTTGTCAGCGGCGGCGTGCGCGTGCATTAAATGGGCGCTCTTCGAAAATTATCTCCCAAGATTAAAAAGGAAGGGAAAAGCGGATGGGATGCCATGAAATGCGGCCTCTCTCTCTCTCTCCGCCGGGTGGCTAATGTATCGCGGACGATCTTAAAATGTTCGGCGCCGCATGCATTCTCTTCCGACTGTGGCTCTCAATACTGCGAGCGGTGGCGGGGGAATCCGCGCGTTCACTTATTTACACCTCCCTGACCTCTAACCTACCACGCCCTCAAAAGGGCGACTCCGCTTTTGTTGATACATTTGTTACATATGTAACCACTTTGCAAAATTTACAATAATATCCCCACACAGCTCCCTCCTCATGTATCACTGGCCCCTCCCCTTTTAGATTGTAAGCCCTCAGGGGCGGGGCCCTCCTTACCATCTTGTCTTGAATTGTATTGTATTGTAATGCCTTCCTTATATTGTACAGCGCTGCGCACACTGTTGGTGTCATATAAATCCTGTATAATAATGTAAAGTGTATTCAAATCCCAAAAATGTTTTTGGCCAATAGAGATGGGTAACGCCCATATTAAAGGGCACTGCACATGGACAATTGGAAAGGCCCCTTGGGCGGATCCCGTCATCTATGTCGGGATCCGCTTCAGCTGCAGCGTCTCAGTATACCGCGAGCTGTAGCTCCCTATATACTGAGCCTAGGGTGACGGGAGGACGCTAGTTTGTGTCCTCCCGTTACCCTAAGGAGAACTATGGGGAAAAGCCCTGACCTCATAGTTCTCCTTTAATGTATAAATTCTAGTCAAAACATTTTCCTTCTGGTTATTGGTGGAGCGCGGAAGGATTGGGACCGCCCCCAGGTTTTGATTGCCGTTTTATTTTCCCTGGTGACCAGGGCCGTCTCTATAATGAGGCAGCCTGAGCTGTTGCCTCAGGCGGCATCTCTTTAGGTCACATGGGGGGGGTGGGGGTGGCAGTGTTTGCAGTGTTCCTGCTGCCCTCTTTCTGGCCAGAGCATCCCAGGTTGCTAAGAGCCAAGCGGGGAGAGAAGGGCCACATACATCTCCCTGCCAGGCTCTTGGCAACCTGGCTCGCTCTGGCTGGCGTCCTGCCCAGCTCCTGGCATCCGATGATGTCACCGGTTGCCAGGAGCTGAGTGAGACGATCTGGCTGGCATCCCGCCCGGCTCCTGGCAAGCATAGGGATGTCAGAGGTGGCCAAAGCAGACCCCCTGGTTAAAGTGCACCACCAGCACCCTCCTACGCCCTTGTCGGTGGCGAAAAGGCTAGGGACATCCCTGATGGTGGACTACTGCCACCGAAACAGAGTGATGAGAAATCCTAAATTGTACCGTTGCCACCAGAACAGGATGTGAGGGGACATCTTACATCTTCCAATAGACACACCTGTTCTGGTTACAGCTGTTCAAAGGATTTCTTCTTCGGAGAGATTTCCTCTCACTTCCTATCCTGTCTTCAAAACAGGAAGTCCAGGAAAAATTTTACCAGTTTAGATGGCCAAAAAAAAATGGTTTTGACCATTTCCTACTGTAGCCAAAGAAAAATGATATATTTATGGGTTTGGCTTTACAGATATTTTAAGTTTTGTTTTTTTTTAGGAATTGATTTTGAGGTGAAATTTTTGCAACTCATTGAAATCATCATCTTTATGCCAGATTCACTCCTACGTGCGCACATGCGCATCCAAATGCCCTCAATATGTGTGATGTCATTGATGTGGTTGCCCATGTATCAATATCAAGCATTGTGAGCACAACCAACAGTTGATGAGCGAAGCTGAGAGTTTCCATTTACCAAAAAAAAAATATTCTGTAAAAATTGGGAGATTTTGCCAAAATTTCACCATTTTGGGGAAATAGATCGGGCATCGACTGGGGAAAAGGCGTCCGCCACCACCTGGCCACTCCCCAATGAGATGACACCTAGGCCAACTGCCTCTGGCACTGGTGCTTGCGGTGCACAACTGAGCGCGCTCCCAGCACAAAACAGGAATGAACACATGTGGCAGCACAGAATACGGCCCAACGGATATTTTTCACAGCCGGCTGGAAGGGGTTAAGCACTTTTTCACCCGAGTCCACTCAACGAACAACATTGTTATCACATTTCGGCAACAGCAACATTTTGCAAAATCAATTTCGGTTCAAAAGAGGAGCCACTTAAAGCCTGATGCACCTTTTAAAAACCACAAAAAAAAAAAACCACCTGGATTTCACTTTTCCAGTCAACTCCAATGAACTTTGCCAAGATGGCAAAATTTTACCCAAATTTTTATACTTTATATTATTGGTGGAGACCTCTGTCCCTCATAGCACGCAGATGCCATGGATTAAGGTCCGCCTTGGTGTGGAAGCGGCGGCTCCTATAGTCAATTGCAATCCCGACAATGGCTGTTGATGGCGGCGCGCGGGTGGGGGCCGAGCATGTCACCGCGGCCAACTTGCAATGTTTCCATACACTAAATTGAAGTTTCAAAATAATATCACTCTCGGTTACAAAGAGACACCCAAAGAAATTAGGTGCTGGCGGCTGCAGCCCAAAATCAAATGCAAAAAAAGAATCATATTTCACCGGGGCTCCGCCGGCAGCGGGAAAATAAATAGAGATATAAGAGGCGAGCGGGCGATGATTCATTCTGATAATCTGGCCCGAGAGAGAGGAGCCGAGACGGCGCGCGGATCGGAGCATCCAGGCGAAAGACAAATAGGACGCGGAGGGTGGGAATTGGGATGACAGCGCAGGAGAGGTCTTGATTATGTTTGTGTGCTAAGCAAACATGTTTTGCAGAGCAAGGTCACGGCGCGCGTTAAGGTCCTTTTAAGAGCGAGCGGCGGCTTGGAATATCTTTTTCGCGTACGCGGGGAGAGACCGGCGAGCTAATTCATCACCTTTTTTTTTAATGTTTTCTGACCGAGGGGGCGCGTGCTCGCGCGGACGAGTGATAAACCGCTTGCCAATCTATTCCAATCTTGTAATGGCTCTTTTACATCTGCGCGGTGGCTACGCGTCCCCCCACCCCCCCTCTTCCCTCGGATAAGTGCGCTTTTAGCGAGCCATTCATCAGCCGAGCGTGAAAACTCCTAATTGGGGAAGCAATTAAAAGCGGCGCAAGTGGTGCAAGTTGACGGTACGGGGGAGGACGCCGGGTTGGGGCCGGACTGCTGGAGGGGCAGCGACTATAAATAGTCAATGAGAGTTCTTAAAGGGTTAGTCCGCCCAAAACCCAACAAAGAAACCAACCGCCGGCCGGTTATGTGCCAAGGGATCAGAGTTTGCGGAATTCATATTTCAGTAGAGCGTTGTTGACTCCGCCAAGTGGCCACAAAGTCCCCCCCAAGTTTCCGGTTGGGTGGGGTGAAGTGATTTTGCCCAAAATTTGTTGAAATTGACGGAAATTTCAGAAATTTTGCAAAATTTGCTCAATTAATATGACTTGTTTGCCAATGAAGTCATGTGATCACGAGGCGTTCTTGATAATTAGGTTAGGTTTAGGGTTCCCAGCCAATGAAGAGCCATATTCTGGGACAAGAGCAGGTCCAGGGCAGTTGAAAGGAACTTCTCTGCTCATCACACGGCGCCC